CAGAGCAGCTTTATAATTCTAGTTTCAAAAACACCAGACACCACTTGCTGCCAGGTGCAAGCTTCAGTCCCTTTTTGTTTCAGGTGTGAAGGTAACTCTGTTCTAAGGATATAACAGACAATAAACTTGTTCAAACACTCCTAAACATCTTTAAAAATATCTGATTTACTTCACATCTGACAAAGAATAAAGTCTCCAGTACCGTACAAACAAAATGCTGTACAAACAGGTTTTGTGTTGATTTCTATTACAGACACGCATGGACAACTTGCGGCAAAGTTCTCACTGTTCTTCCAGTGTCTGCTGCACTTCAGTGGTAGGAACTGGAGAGGGAAAAACAAGCCCTTGTGTTCTACCTGCCCACCTCAGCTGTGCCACGAATCATATTTTCTGAGAGTCACATGGCTTCAGTTACCCATGACAGACTGCTATATAGGCTTAATTCTTAAAACTTATCATCACCTCCTGATCTTCTTTTTTTATTTTTTTTTTTCCCTTCCCCCCCCTCTGTAAGGGTGAGGAGAGGGGCAGAGATCCTGTTTCTAACAAGCCCCAACCAGTACAGCTACATGTGCTACCAAATTTGCCGGTCAGTGAGATTCCCGTGAACACCTCTTCTGTTCCTTAATAAGTAACTAGCTCTCTACAACCTTACAACACATTCTTGTCCTGCCACTCTACATTTCTACCATCATTTCATGTCACTTTTATGTAGTATTTAAGCACCGAAGTGGTAAAGTTTAAAAGCACTTCATTGATTTTTAACTTACTGCTTTTTAAACATAATTAGAGGACCAGCCTGCACTGTCCTTACTTAGGCAGAGAACCACCTCCTGGCCTCAGGAAAACTTTTGGTTGCATGAAACTGTCTGCACGGTACCTAAAACAATGTTAGTAAGCCTATATATAATCAGGATAAAATTACACTCGACTCGAAACAAGTCCAGAAGCTAAACACTTTGGTATCTCAGGGGCTTTTTGTATTGCAGAAAAAAAAAAAAAGAATCCTCTTAAAGAGAAGTCAATTCCAATTCAAAAGTATGTATTTTATTTTACACTACTGTAACAAAAATTAAATTGATTCCCTTAGTCTCTTCGTAGTCAGCTTTCAAAATCATTGTATACTTTGTACACGAGTTTTTTTAAACTAAAACAAACAAGTCTTTGAGACTCTAAAAGGATATTAATATGTTTTGGTTCATATACAAAAGTGTGTTGCAACCAAACTGCTGCATCCATAGTTTATATAATTCACACTGTAAAAATTTGCATCCATAGTTCATATACACTGTATAACTAAAAATTATGGAAAATACACAAACTATGAAAAAGGTGAAGGATTTTTTTCTAGAAATCCACCTTCTTGCAGTTCAAATAATTTTAAAATTAAAATTGTTTAAAATTTAAAATTGTTTAAAATTAAAATTTAAATTGTTGCTAAAATTCTCTTTTCCTCTCCAACAGAAAAGATATCCCTCATGTTCATTCTTGTTGGGTCTCTTGGTTTACTCATGTTCATAATTAGCTTTTGATAGAAGTCTGCAGTAAAAAAACAAATACGGAAAAGCTTTTCTAAAGAAGATATACACCTAATTTAATTAAGTCTGTGTTTTAATACACACTCAACTGACTGAGAGATTTGACTTCCCTCAGCCATACCAGTTGTTATGAAAACCAGGAGAAAGTGAGAGAAGAAGAATGGTAAAAACATGTCTAATCCCATGAATTAAGGGCTGTTTTAAGAGTCCTTACATTATGAAGTGTGAAATCACGTCCTTTCTATATGGAGATTAAATCTCTGTCTCATTCCTGTTCCATTTATTTAGTCTCCAGACCTATTTCAATAGGCTGATGAAAGTTCACCAGTTAAACCACTCATCCACTCTACTACTGTAATGCCAGAAGAGTCGACTCGATCTGCCTAATCCTGCAGCCAGAGTGCAATGAAGGTAACCAGAGTGAACTGAGCAGCCATCGTTCCTGTTGGTGAACAATTGTTCGGGGAGTTTTATCACCCTGCCTTGGTGAGAAGAGCATCCAGACTCCTCTCACATGCACTGTCAAAAACACAGGACAGCATGCTCTGTAGTGAAAAGTTTATGCCTAGAGCTTTCAAACTTTGCACAAAAATGGATTTATTGTAATCACTTACTTTGATATGCTACTTATGTTAACAATGCCACTTTTAAATAGTAATGCAACATTAAAGACAGTTCATTTCACCCTGATTACTAACCATTTGAGCTATTAAATTCACTTAGCCTTGAGCCATATGCATCCAACATGTGATGGGTTAATCACACACAAATCTTGTGTGTCTTATTTAAATAGCAATAAAAATTATTAAAATGTTCTGAAATGAAATTGCAGGCATTATTCCTTTCAATCCATAACCACAGCATCATAAAATGGATTATAAAAGGAATATCACGCAGTAAGTTATAATAACAGAACTAATTACAATTTCCAGACTTTTTACAAAGCAATGTGGAAAAATGTATATTCTACAAGATGGTGTCTGCAAGATTCAACTGTATCAGCCTTTTGATTGTTAGTATTGATTGGAAGTAGGAACAGGAAGTAATCCAATTATCCAAAATGTTCATTTCCTTAACAGATCCAGGGCTTCAGTCTACATGCAGAAAGTACCATAGAGTTATCCTACAATCAGGTAATTCTTAACTGCTACTCTGCTGAAACATCAGAAAGTAGGAATAAAGACCTCGAAAGAAGTTTATGCCATAAGTTTTGCTCCTCGGGAATACTTTTGAGAACTACATCCAATTTTCCTCTGCTTTAATACAAGATCAAAGTAGCTCAATTCTACCTGAGCAATCCCCACTGCTGGGTGAGATGAGTGGAGACTGCAAACTCCTGTTCTTGAGAGCCGTTAGCTCTTAAGTCTGTGTAAAATAGAAAAAAATCATCCATTATTTTTTCTAAGCATGTCTTTTGTAATCATTTCTTCTGTAAAGCTCTTAACAGTGAATATGAGGGAATTTAGTACTACCACATGTATTTTCAGAATGGTTTATAGGTCTGGTACCAAAATAATTTTTTTCCTCTAGGGAAGGAGGTCTACGACATGAATTTGCACCTTATGATAGCCATTCCAGTAGACTCACAGCTATTCTATGAGGACAGGTCTACTTGTGAGTTCATGCTGGAGGACAGGCTATGCCTGCCACCAGCTATTTGTTATACTACCTTTGCAGTGCTCCCCAACTTGAAAAGAAACAGCAAACAAGTCATTTGTCAAGGGTCTGGTATATAACGATACCAGATAAATTATGTTGGCATTTGAACAAAAGAGTCAGAGAGGAATGTCTGTTTTTAAACTGGAAATATATATGGGCCTGGAAAATAAACAAAGATCTGTTCTCCACACCCAAAACAGAAGAATGATGCTGACAAACAGCTGAAAACTACATTACATTTAAATAACATCATAAACTGCTATTAAAATATCATGCAGCTGCAGTTAACAGAACTTGCTAATTACTTAAAACACAACACTAAGAAAACCCATAATTTTTTTACATTTTTAAGTGAAAAAGAAGAATTCCAGATTCTTTTTAAGGCTGCTTACTTTCAGGAAAGAACAAAGTGTAACTAAACAAATTCAGAATATGAGTCACATCCTTTCCTACTGTTACCACATGCAACATGCGTGTCCATAAACACAGAGGTTATCTACACATAATACCTGTACAAGCATTACATTTAAAATTGAATCACAAAGCATAAAACCAAAAAAGGGTTATAACTATACTCTGATAAACCAAGGTTGCTTTCTTTTAAATGTTAATAGTATCACAGTGCTCTTTATTTTATTTCACAATTGTTGAATCTTAAACTTCTCTGTGATAGAAAGCTTCAACACTTTTTTTTTTTTAAACGAATACATATTATTTATTATAGATAGCACTAATTTTGTGTCTCACAGCTATTCTAAAAAGTAAGTATATAAGAGCAAAAATTATTTTGGAGATTTTATTCCTGTCAAATAGAATGACTGACTTGTAACATGGCTTGTAACACTACTGGAAATAAATCATACAGTCTTCAACTTGGGGTGACAGGGGTCAAAGCAATATTGAAAGAAGTATGGCAGCTTTAATAACATATTAATCTTTACTTACATGAGGAGATTTTGCTCCTCTGAATAGTCCCATTGTAGTAAACAGAATTGTTCCAGTAAGGAGTAGTGACGTGAGCAACATTCTCTATGAGTAAACCACCAGACCTGATGGTCTTAGCAATGTTGAGATCACAGGGATCATGAGCTACAAATTACCTACAGCTTCAAAGGCAAGCATCAAAACCTGGATACGTATTGATCAATAACCGACAAACGGTGACAATATAGTATTTACTCATAATTGAAAGAGACTTTGTACTCTTAAATAACACAACCAAATTATTGTATGGATGCTAGTCCATCAGATTATTTCAGGCAAAGAGCATGTATTGCATAGACAGATTATACGTTCCTTATTAAGCATCTGCTTCTTATTTTAAAATGTCACTAAAACATTTTAGCTTAATAGGTAGTCTCATTTTTCCCATGTATATTATTAATTCTATTCCAGTAAAATTGTATGTTTAACATGTGGCAAACGTTCTTAAGTATCAAACTTTCATACTGATTCTGCAAAGATATTACAGTTTTCTTACAGGAATTTTCGAGGTGATACAGCAGATTAATACTAGTTTAAAGAAATTTTTGTCTACTGAAATAAGGAAATTGTTTAGACAGATATAAACACATACAAATACACTCCTTTCAAAAGTTTTGTACCTAGCTACACTTTTAGCCACAATAGGCTGTGAAAAAACTAAAACCATTAGACCATTAACCATTAGACATAGTTATATAAGAAAACACTTTTACAGTTCACAAACACGCTCGTCAAGAAACACACAGCTCCATGCAGTTTAAATTAAATCAATAAAAATTATACATCAACTTGAAAGAGATAAAAAAGAGAGCTTCTCACCCCTCAAAACAAAACTGGAACTTTGGTTTATAGGAATGGCTATGCCCATATACCCTCCTCGTCATCCTGCGTGCCAGACATTAGGAGATGCACAGAGAAGATGTTAGCATTGGAATGAAAGAAGAAAAGATTAGTTACTTTGATGCATATACAATACAATTTTCTTGGCTGTTACAAACATTTTTTTTTAAACGTAAGCCAGTGAAAACAACTGAACCAGTTTGTGTTACATATACAAGAATCTGCATCTATAGCAACCAAAAAGCAGGAACAGTGACGCAAACAGTTTTCCACACCCAGTTAAAACAGTGTGTAGGAACTAGATTATAAGATTAAATATGAAAAGGTTATCTATTTTTTAATTGCATGCAATTCAAACCAACATTGACAGCAGAAATAGATCAAACCTTATCAGTAAGCAAAGTAATTATTATAATCAAATTGTCTTACATTCTGTTAGGTTAAAAGATACAAAACTGCTGAAGAATCAAAAAGATCTGTCCCTAGTGAAGCACACTTTTCTAACATGCTATCAATTAAATCTATCTTTTAAGCAATCCTTAAACACTGCACATTGTTAAATATTATTAGAGAGTTTCTCTCCTTCTTTCCATTTTTGAACCATTAGAAGTAATTTATTTAGAGTTTTAATGATAAATAACATTAATGGCAAACACAAAATATCATAACAATTTCATGAATTTCTTTTTTAAAGGCATTATTTTACTGTAGATATGCTGAAAGCAGAATATCTTTCTTTACATTTATTATAAACTTGGAGTTAAAAAGAACAAAACAAGAAACATGAACTAAATTAGGAGACTGAAACATTCTTCCTTGGATACGTTTGCTGAAGATTACATTTTTCATTTTGATTCTTTATCTATGCACATGCCGATACATATGTGCATATCTATATCTACATATAGTTCTACTGTGTCAAATTCTGATGGGATATTCAGCTTTTAGAACACAGAGGCACACAACACAATGTTTTTCATTTAACTTAGTATTTAAGAATCAAATTAAATCTTATAATTCCAGATATCCTTAAAATTCATCCATTAATATTTTAGAAGTGTAAAAAAGTTACATTCTGTGGTTTCAAAACTTAGAAAGCTAGCTGTTAAGTTAGCATATTGCTGGCACTTAATTAAATCTAAAAACTAAGTAAAATTAATGGTAATTAATTATGATTGAAATGGACAGGAACTGTAGCCTGAAAATACACACTGCCAGTATCACTACTGTTCCTAGTCCATTCTTGGAATAGAAAAGAGCTCCCAGATGTCAACTGTTATTAAAAACCAGATGTTAAGATAGATGTCTTGCATGTTGCTGAATTAAGTAAAGAAATCTGACAGTCCACTATAAACTTAGCTATCATTTAACACAGAAGAAATGTGGGTGAATTTTTTACAGTTAACTTGGAACACGTCTTAGTTCTAAGGTCTGCACAACTACACCACAAAGCCAAGACACAGTAGGACCTGAATATTCTTATTTATTTTTGAAACAAAGGGACAGATTCTGTAAAACTTCCAATGAACTGGGTTCACCTCACTGAAAATATGAGTCCTTCCCTCTGAATTCTACAGGATCTACTTTTATTCAGGTCTACTAACGCTAATTGAACTGACTTTGAAGTTGACAAGATTTTTGTCAGAGTAAAGGTTGAAGAAAGACTGAAGAATTTCTTTTCCACTGAGTAGTTTGATCCTATTTCACTAACAGAATGCATTAGGTTAATCTCTGGTGATATCTTTAAAAACAGCAAAAATCAACAAAATGGGCAACTCGGTATGTTTCCAACTGACTCCTCCTAACTACATTCAGCTGTTTTGCTGTTTAGTGTATTGTTATTCTTCAAAGAGGCAGACATTCGTTTTTACTTCAACTATTTGCACGATCTCTTTTTGGCAGAATTCTACAAGAGCTGAAAACTTGAACATTGTCAAATATTTTTAAAGAGTATTATGGGAAATTACAGACTATACAGTTTGACACTGATCCTGCTATACAATAAGTAATAAATTAAAAGCTGGAGCTCAGTTAATGTCAATCAACATAATTTTATTGAGTACTGGTCCTGTCAAAATAACTTTCTATCCTTTTCAGTTACATATAGACTCTTTTTGATAAGGTGCTTTGAAATAATATGCTGAGATTTCTGTAAGGCATTTGATTATGTGTCACAAGACACAGCGTCGGCAAAATTGGCTCTATATGGAATGAACATTGCTGGAGAAGGAAGGGGACCTGCAGATACCTTTTCTCATCCCAAACTTGTTCTGTATTCCCACGATCTGAAAGAAAAATCTGACAAAGACTGCTTGGAAAAGTGAACATATTTGGGATTAACTGAATAAATGTTATCAGCTGCATACAAGTATGACTGAAATCATGTATACAGTGTCATCATTTAAAAATGCACAGGGCAAAGCTGGAAGACAGGGGACTGCATCTGAAATCAATTATATCAAAAAAGGGCTATACAGATCACAGTGGAAGTGAACATGTGATACAATTTTGAATTTACAAGGACAAATATAGGCAGGGAAATAAAAAACAAAAAGTTTGCTGTATCTCTATGCAGTAGCATAAGACCATTAACAGAATGATACATCTGGTGCTCAGGTCATATTCTGGTGAATATTTGAAAGACTGTAACCAGATCAAAAAACAGCTACAAAATTATTGAAAAATAAACTTGGCAGTGAGAAACAAGAGACTCAACCTAACTGGTCACTCAGACAATATTAAAAGATTGTTTGATTGCTATTAACTAACACATACAGAAAAGGAGACAGCTCTTCTCTCTAGCAGAAAAAAGATAGATAGAGATTTATAGGATGGAATTACACTGCAAATATGGTAAATATTCTTCAATAGCACATCAGGTCTGGATGACTTGAGGATTTTATGTCAAGACTCAGACAATTTCAAAAAGATATGGCTAACTGTATTCAAAATAATTCAAACAAATTACAGGTTTAATGAAGAAATTATTGAGCAGTCAGGTCCAGATTACGTTCATAGTCTACTTCACCTTCAGCAACCACAATTAATAAAAATCCTCTTTCATCTTTTTTCCTCATGCCTGTTTTAGTGAGAATGTCTTTGCGATTATCTTATTGTGTACACAAAGAGTTTATAATGTATTTTCCAATTTCAGTGAGTAACAAATTCCCAAACAGTTAATTATACACAGTGATCTGTTTTGACAGACAACTGAATAGAAAAAACAAACCCTCAATGGATTTTAAATTTTTAATACTATGAGCAACCTCAAAAGCAGGCTCAACATACTGTGTTGTTTTAAAAACCTGCATCTATATGGTATTTTGACTTGATTTATACCTACCCCAGAAAATCTGTTCATATCTCATTTTCAAAACCATGCACTAATTATTTAAAGAAGATAAACAGTCTTGCACTAACATAAGCAGAACTCACACACTTAGTATCCCTATCAAAAAAGCCCAATGTTTCATAATTACATGCTTTATTATCTAATATGTTATTGTTTAGTGTCATATATAGATGCTAGGTAATGCACTGACCTGAAAATACTTGGCACTTGATGATCATTAAGGAGAAAAGTAAAATTCCTACAGATATCAGTTGTCAACCCTCTTTTTCATTAAAAAAACATTTTTCATTAAAAAAAGGGGATTGAACCAAAGAACCATAATTTCATGATATGTGCTGTCAATTTTTAACTTAACAGAAGCCAGAATGTACAGATGCAAGATCTTAAAAGAATACTAGAAGGACTCACTGATCACTTACTATTCCCACTATGCAAGACAGGTTGTTTTCAAGCCTGCACTACTTCCTTCCGGTGCATTGGATCAAAGTTATAAGACTCAACTATCCTTGTCATTCTGCTACCTGTTCCGTTTTGACAACCAGATATTTAATGGTGTAAATCGTCTTAGTGTTATAGGCTTTACAGATTCTTCTTTAGAGTTAGGAACAACCACCAAAAAGCACTGGATAAAAAGCACATAAAAAGCAGGATTGTAGCTTTCATTGGTTTTATGAATAAACTAGTCTATCAAGAAGCTAACGTTTGGTACCTCAATGCAAACAAACAATGTAAGAGAATACAGAATTCTTCACTGATGCTCTGAGACACATGAAGTTCATTACCTATTTTTGCACTCTTGACAGACTGTGAAGCAAAATAAAAGCTGCAGCTATGCCTTATCATTTATTAATATTGGATCAGAGACTTCCAAAAGTATGCTTAGTCTTTCATATCAGTGTGTATCCTACAGAATCATTAATCTACGGCTCTTTCAAACAATAAACTATAATCAAGCAGTTTTTGATTAATGTTTGTGTACATTAACTGCTTTTTAAACTTGGATCTTTCATTGGTTTATGGGGTCAACAACAGCAGTTCAATGACAAAAACGGTAAACCAAAATCTCAATTACAGACAAGCAAAAAGTGAAAAAAAAAATCAGGAAATACCATTTGAACTGATAGACTACTATATATGCTTAACTATTATAAAATTATTATAAATACAAATTATTTAAGATATTGAATGCCTTGTATTTTCAGGTCCCTGATTTGGACATATATTTAGGTACAGTACAGTGGTATAATCTCAAGTACTACGAAAGCCTTTGTACATGGGCTATTTATAGATTATTAATTCATTGATTTTATCTCATCCTTTTGCTAGTCCTTTCTTTTTTCATTGGTGCTACTTATCATAATTGTTAACATCTTAAATATCTGGTGTTACTAAATATGATTTACTGTTCTGATCCAATTGCCACAAAACCTAATGGTAAAACCTCAAAACTGTCTTCAGAGTAGCAAGATGAGAAACTTAATGAATAGCACTTGAAAAACACTACACACAAATGTAGAAAGCTTGCATAAAGATGTCTTCTGTTTTATTATTGAAGTGTATTTCAATGCAAGTTTTGTAGACACATTTCTCAGCCATCAATTTTTTAAGCTTCATCAGTTTCAGTAGTAAATTTGAGACCATGGTCTTCAGATAAAAGGGGCTACATTACAGAGCAGGTTAGAAACAAAGGATA